GGTGGGACAAAAAAAGGCAAGGCTGCCACTATTTACATGAATAGTAGCAGCCCTTGCCTTGCCTTTGCTTTTTGGGGTGGACTTGCTCTTATTATTAATTAAAAAATTAATTCAGAACCATAAATATTAAAAAATTAATTCAGAACCATAAATGTACTTCTGTTGTAATGCAACTACTAAATTTTCGATGTTATTTATAATTTTTACATTAGTTTTTATCAAGCATCCAAACAAGGAAAAGGAAATGGTTCCTCATATTTCCCATTCACTTCAAAGCAGTTTAAGGTACATCAAAATTTTCCCAATAGATATTACAATTTGTTAACCTAACTAACTAGCTTCAATTCACACACGAAGCTTCTTGCCAGGCTGTACATCATCATCGTAATGGCCGCCGCCGCCCCCCTCTCCATCCATGTCCTTATCCATCTTCTTTCTGGCAAGTATCTTGTTGATCTTGTGCAGATCATTAGTGATCTTCTGGTCCTTGTTTTGCTTTCGTGTCTTTCGACCATCTTGCATCTTCACGCCAAACTGGAATGCTGCCTTCGGCATAGCTTCCTTCTGCTCATTGTATGTTGCCCATTCTTCTTCTGTCTCAAAGTCCCATCGGTGAAGGCGACCCTTAGCCTGTTCAGAAATATTTTAACAAATACATAAGCACTGACTGTAATTTGTAACAATAACTATAATGTTGCGCCTATAACTGTTAGATGATCATTCATAGAAGCAAACAAAGAATTGCTACTAAAGTATTTTCTCCAATATGTTGAATGTCATACAAAACTAAGCTACAGAATGAAGCACACTTCCTAGGCAGTATGAGCAAGATTATTGGTTTAATCAGAAACTTACTCGTCCACCCATATCCATTTTTGACAAGTCATCTTCATCGTCGCTGTCAACTATCTCCCGATTATACTCTTGATAGCCAGGGTAACATTCAGAATAACTCTCTGAGATGAAGTTGGGATCCTTTTCTCGGGCATCTTTCTCCCTCAATTGTTGAAGTCTTTGGTCATCACGCTTGAACACAGATCCTAAACCCCGATCCTTCTCTTCTTGAGTCATAAAGCGTGGATCCTGTATGTTTAGGCCTGCTTCCACATCATAACCCTCCATATTTTGCTGGAGGTACTGTTCAGGATAAGCCATTTGCTCAGCATATTGGTACTCCGCCGGCCACTCACCCTGGTAGGCCCCAGCCATTTGTGTTTGTGTTGCATCGTATCCATTCTAAATCCAAACAATGAACAGAGAATTACTCATCTATGAAAAAATGCAAGTCAAGTTTCTGTTTAGAAACACAGTTTGTACAACAATCTTCAAAATGAAGAAAGAAGAGGATCAACATACTGTTTCTTGCCATTCGTGAGGCGCCCCATAGGGTTGGACGGGACCATAAACAGGTTCATCAAAATAAGAAACTTTTTCCTTGTTCCGGGGAGACTCTTCCATGTCTTCAGAGAGAGGGCTTTGACTCAAATCCTTACCAGGAATAGCATAGTCAACACCATCCCCAACAAAAATGTCATCCTCATCTGCTCTAGCCATAGTTGGGCCTTGTTGTGCTTTTGAATCTATATGATTTTTCCTGGGAGGAGGACCAGGAGGTGGAGGTGGAGGTGGAGGCAAAATCTCTCTTTTAGTTTCATTCTTCGAAGTCCCAGAATCAGGCTTCGAGGGCTTATCCTCTTCAACATATTCATTACCAATAATTGAAATCTTTCCTATAACTAAAACAAGGACCAAGAAAAGAACTTGATTAAATAATCAACAAATAAACAACGATAAAAGGTAGATAGGATGAAGGATGAAAACAATTGATGAGAAATCTCAAAATCGGTTATGAAATATTATCTCTTCAACCCTCACAGTATACACCAAAATGCCAGCATCCCAGACAATATTAGGCAAGTTATACCAAACACACAACAAGGAATTCTGATACAAATTAGTTTAGTTTGATTTAGTTTATCTCTAAAAAATTTCAGTTGACCACATTTAGGCATAACATCTGTACAATTTTTATCGTAAACAATGTTTTCAAATACATGCTTTATATATCGCTTTGCTTTGACTTAAAAAGAGAACTACTCACAGTATATTACAGACAATTGTATCAAGAACCTAATGTTGCAAATAGAACTGATGATTTCCAGTTACTTTTGACCAAAAGCAGGATAGGGAAATTACCTTTTGCATCTTTCTCCTTCTTTTTCTTCTTGAGAACCTTTCCAGAAGATCCAAGACGAAGATATGACATAATTTTAGCAATTCGATCAAGTACAGAACCATCAACACTGACAGTTACCATTTCCTGCACAATAAGTAGAAGCCAAAATCAGCATAACAGTCCAACACTAAAAGGACAAGCGCACCAAGGATCAAGAGAATTTTAACCTCTGGTTGCGGACAGTCGGCTTTGCTCCTATGCAAGGTGGTTGGGATATCATGAGTGTATCCACCCTCCTGATATGTGGAATAAGAGAAAATGATACAGAAGTTAGGAAAATGAGAGATCAAATTCATTGAGTATCCAAAAGTAAGCTCAGTACTCTCTAAGAAGTGTGTACAGAGCACTTCTACTCATAGTTGAACTACCATGCATGCTTCAGGTGGCAACCAAACACAAAGTGATCCCGAACAAGCCACCCAAGGTTTATCAGGGTTCACGCAAGCTTAAAACATGAGCCCAAAATTATCCCAAAAAGACTACTCTGCTCTAAAATACGCAGGCTTAAAATAAAAAGAGCAACCAAGACTCTTACCATGTTGAAAATAAATGACATCCTACCAGGAAGGAACATCTCATTGGTTTTTATAACAGCTTGTGGCTTGACTATGCATTGGTACACCGACTGAAACACAGAAATGAGACATCAATGCAAAGAGTTTAAGATTTAAGAACAAAACTACCTCATCATATCACCAAAAGTAACACACCTTTGCAGTTGCAGTTCGAAATGACAATTTTTGGTCTTCCTTAGATGCCCTGTCAGAGAACAGAAAACACATGTTAGCACACACGCTATGACAAAGCTAAAGAAGTTTATTGACATTTGCCATACATCTCTAGAATAATAACTCATATTAACACTTGAAATGGCCAGTATCAACACAGACTCTAATCCTTCTACATCACGTTTGCCAAATTTAATTACTGAAATCGTAAGTATAAATGGGAATATTTAGCATAGCCTGACAATTAGGACAAGTAACCATATACAATTACCTAGATTTTGCATCAGCCTCATCTTCAGCATCTGGCTTTTTGTCAATCTCGCTTCTTATTTTGTTAAGTAAAGCATAATCCAATCCTTTGACCAAATGCGTGTGTTCCACATCACCTGAACAGAATTAATCCCGTTCAGCATAAAGATAAGAACAATGCCTTTCCGCATTTACACAAAATGGCTAGCCAATAAAACTATTGACTATCTGTTTTCATGAATTCTTACACATAGCAACAAATGCAAGGTTATTTCTATCGCAATTTGTTTGAATAACACATTGGGAGATTATTTTTTTCTATTTTAATGAGTAACACGTACCTCCAAGATACTTGCTCTTCTCGATGGATAACTTCTGTGCTTCAGCTGCCCTGCAAATACCATTGCAAATATGATTACGCTAAAAACAGCAGAGCCATTGTCAAGTTGAACATGAAAGTTTAGATAATAACCGGAGATCAACATTTCCAGGAGGCGCAACAGCGTGAAAAGAACCCAATTCAGTCTGCTCATAATCAGGATTTTGATCTTCTCTTCGCTCCTTTGCTCTGTCTCTGTATTTTGGCAACTCCGGCTGTTCTGCTTTCTCCTCTCTGCATGCAGCACCACATAAACATAACATCAAACACATAATCTACATTCAAAAATTCGTTTTTCAATGTCTGTAAAGCTAATTTAATCCCAGATTTTAGCAAAACAGGTTCATTACCCACACAAAAAAGGGTACAAAATTAAGAAAATAATAATAAAATTTTAAGCTTTAGAAAAAATTAACATGGTGCTGATGCCCATATCGACTACGCTGCATGTTAAACGTTGAATTGGAAGCTGTGTGTTGTACAGTGAACGAAACAAATTGAACTTTAACTCACTTGCGGCGAATAACTTTCTCCTTGTGATGTTTCTTTGACGACGTCATTGATACAACTGAATTAAAATCAGGGTTGAGGGAGCTTCTTCAAATGGCAACAGTTAGGGTTTGCAGCAGTGGCGAATTGGCGAAACGAGGTCGCTGGAACAAGGTGCAGGCAGGAGGATTTCGTTGCGCTCTAAATTACGGATATAGCCTTCTGTATATCCTCATGCTTGAAAGTTGAAACGCACGTCATTCAATTTTGGCTTCTTTCTTTCTCTTTTTTATTTTTCTAATTCGTGAGAATTAAGTTGACAACACAATCAAAAACGATATCGTTTCGGGGAACCTCACTATCTCATTTGGACCGCATCCTTCAGCGGACATTTTTTTTTATTTTGGTAAAACCTCATTGGACTATGCACTTTTCTTGCAAGCTTGTCCTTGATCAACAACTACAAGGAAGAGAACTTAATTCGTTTGGATCCTTAAACATGCTTGTGCACCCCTAATTGAAAGGATTTGGGTTTGGAAATAATAAAAATTCTAAATAGCTGACGTGTACTTATTACATTCGTTACCAATTATTCTATATATGCTTAAATTGTTAATTAACATATTAACTGTCACATCATATGATTAGTTATAATTATAAGAAAATGTGACAATTCTAACATTATTCGTGCTCTTGAATTTCAATACGGCTAGACAACCTATGCAATTGATCATGGTCCTCCCCTTAACCCTTACTAAAAGACAATATATAAACAGAACTAGAACCTATATGGTGTGTATGGAATAATGTCCAGTCAATTGTGAATTATTGGTGCTAAACTAAAAGACATATTTTAGGCTGATAATTACAAGGTAGCTTTTGGTTATTAAAAACTCTTGAAAGCTTGGCCTTTACTAGGCAAGAGTATCTAAAACTCTTTATATATTCTTACACATAAGGATTTCTAGGTACCTAGAGGACAGAAGTCAGTGATATTCAAACTTCTCAAATGGCAAGCCTGCAGAATTCTCTCTTGGATCACTTAATCTTCATCTGTGTGAGCACTCTGCTGTGGTCAATTGGGTTTGGATCGTGTGCTATTATTGATCACACATTGAGCAGCAGAACTGTTGCCTTGTTCATTTTTGGTGACTCAACTGTAGATCCTGGAAACAACAATTACATCAACACCATTCCTGAGAACCAAGCACATTACAAGCCGTACGGGCAGAACGGCTTCTTCCAACACCCCACGGGACGCTTTTCTGACGGTCGTATCATCGTAGATTACATAGGTAAGTATTTATATAAATATATTTGCGTAATCAAAATAAAGAAGTATAGAAGATGTGGTATAATGTTTTGTATGCTAATGATGCAGCGGACTATGCAAAGCTGCCACTGATCCCTCCATTTTTACAACCATCTGTTGATTACACAAATGGTGTTAACTTTGCATCTGCTGGGGCTGGCGTCCTTTCTGAAACCAATCAAGGATTGGTATGGCCAATTTTAGTCTTTATATGGCTATGAATCACTAGAGATCTTCTTAGTGATTCATATTTTGTGTACATAATAATTTGAATCGAATTGTTCAATTTTAGGTGATCGATCTTCAGACACAATTGAAAAACTTTGAAGAGGTGCAGAAATCACTAACAGATAAGTTTGGAGAAGTGAAAGCAAAGGAAGTGATATCAGAAGCAGTTTATTTCATTAGTATTGGGAGCAATGATTACATGGGTGGTTATTTGGGCAACCCAAAAATGCAAGAACAATATAACCCTGAACAATATGTGGGGATGGTCATTGGAAACTTGACACAGGCAATCCAAGTAAGCCTTATCAAACCTGCTTTTCATTGCAGAGGGTCTTCAAAACAGGTCCGGTTGACTTTTGATTGACCCTTTTTTCTTTTTCTTTTTTGCAGGTGTTGTATGAGAAAGGGGGTAGAAAATTTGCTTTCCTAAGGTTGTGTCCACTTGGTTGCTTGCCTGCCTTTAGAGCTCTGAACCACAAAGCCAGTGGAGGGGGTTGCTTTGAAGCAGCTTCTGCCCTTGCTCTAGCACATAACAATGCTTTAAAAACTGTGCTCACAAGCCTTGAATATATGCTCAAACAGTTCAAGTACAGCAACTCCAATTTTTATGATTGGCTCCAGGACAGAATAGATAATCCCTACAAACATGGTAACTATGCTTTATGTTATTTTTATTTTCTTCCCAAACTTACAATAGCACCATTAAAATATCAGAAAAGTAGTGATCCCCTGTGACCAGGCAAAGCACAATATAGAAAGGGGTTTGATAGATTAAATTACTAAAATGATCTTCGGTGGGGATCTTAATCAATGGTTTCAGGTTTGAAACATTCTAACACGTTGATAGTGTGTGTGTGTGAGAAAATCCCCCTCCCCCTTCCTAACTTTGGCAAAATAATCACTCCACTCACGGAAAATGGTCATTTTAATCTAACATTTACTGTGTAGGTTACAAGGATGGAGTGAATGCTTGCTGTGGGACTGGACCCTACGGGGGCATCTTCACCTGTGGAGGCACAAAGGAAGTTAAAGATTACCAATTATGTGAAAATGCTGATGATTATGTATGGTGGGATTCTTTTCACCCCACTGAGAGGATCCATGAGCAGCTTGCAAAGACTCTCTGGAATGGGGCCCCTTCCTCTGTAGGGCCATACAACCTAGAAGAGCTCTTCTCAGTTGATGAGGAGAAGCTCACTATTGGCTATATGGTTGATGACCCAGAAGCACAAGATCACTTTTCACTTCTAAAATAGTGCAGAACAGGACCAAGGTAGCTTACCCTGCAGCCTGCCCTTCAGTGAAGGGCTAGAAGTATAGTTGATATATGCAATTTGTATGTGATGATGTGTGTTGTCCTTGTGATAGTTAACTTCTTTGAAAAGTCAGTCTCCTTCTACGTTTGGGCTTTGGCCTCCATAAACCTATTTGCGAATAATATTAAGTAAAAATAACAACAAACATAAATATGTCTTGAGTGATATGTTGAAACCAGGTTCCCTAAAATAATCTTCAAGACCCCCAACCCTCCCTCCAAAAACCAAAGTGAGAACCAACGATCAAGAAAGAAAAACATATTTTCTTATTCGGATCGTACAATGTTCGAAAAATCGCTAGGCGGTCCTAGAGTGTTTTTATTTTAATCATTTTGATTTATAAATTATAAATTTATACCAAAATCATGCAAAATAAAAGGATATATAACCACACAAAAAAAGGCATAGATACTTATAGAGAGAGGGTCGCCAGTTGCGGCGGGTGGGCGAGGGGTCGTTGCGACCTGGTGGTGATAGTTTTCTTTCAAGTCAAGCAAAAAAAAATTATAACGAATAAAAAAACCCTGCCTAGGCAGCCTAAATCCCGCCTAGCGCCTAGGCGCTGATTTTTTTTAACTAAACCAACAAAACAAAAATTCATATTCTCATTTATTTCACCCCTTACCCATCTTAGTAGGGGTGGGCATCAATCTGGCTGAACTGATTATATCATCCAACTTGAACTGTAATTACACGTTCGGTTTAGTTTTGACTAACAAAAGTCAAACGGTTTAAACCCAAACCAGACTGTATATTAGTTGGTTGGTTTGAGCTTTTGTAAACCGGTTTAAACCAAATCGGACCGTCCACTTATAAATTTATTTATTTATTTATTGTTTTACACGTGCAGTTCTCTAATTAGATAATAACTATACTATCTACTTACATATTTATTTATTTATATTTTATTTTACAAGTGTAGTTGTTGAGATTTAAACTGTACCTATATTAGTTATTTAAATTTGAAGTTTGATGACATGTTGAGTTTTAGGATGTGATTTGATTGTAGCTATATATATATAGCCGCGCGGCTATGTGCCATCTCCAATTGGGAATAATGATTCTTCTCTTCCAAATAAGAATAATTTTACAACCAATTATGACAGTAAACCAGTTAGCAACACCGCCTCTAATTTCGAGAATCAAACTAAAGATGAAAGGACTTCAGAGGTGAGAATGAACATGCTCTTTGAAATTTTCATATATGAACTTCTTAATATAGAGCACAAGAAGAACAACGAAACTTAATTGACGCTTGCTTTTGATTCTTAATCCAGGTTTATTCTCAACCAGAAGAAGATCCGGAATCATTCTTACAACTTAAGCTAGATGATTACACATGGCTTTCAAGAATATTGCAGCCAGAACCGGGAAATCTTCTGCATGCATAACTCTATTGGATGCAATGAGTTGCAATCTCCATATCCAGAGACTGCAGCTCTTTTCCCACAATCTTCTTGAATAACAAAAACATCATCATATACTCTTTTCAATGACTCCAACCTACCAAAGTCATTGGGAAGGGTTTATGATGGGGATGGTGGAGTACAACAGTGAGACAAACACTGAAGTACTTCATGGAAAATATATTCTGCATTAGCTATTGGAAAAACACTCCAATATGGTTAATGAACCACAACATTTTATTTATGGGAGAATATCAAAATAGTATAAACCATGAGCCCTTGTAAGAATGTGTCTCCAACTCACATTATTACAGATCACTAAAGAAATAATAATTAAAACGTAATCACTAATGAAAGTATTTAAACAAGGCTAAGATATTATTTAATGAATAAAAAAGAATATTTTAAAAAAGGATATTTTAAATAGAATATTTTAAAAGTATAGCCGACCGCCTATACCCTTTGAATGGCATAATCTTGATTTCTCTTTTTTAATTACTATTTACTTAGTGAATAATTAGTATTTAAAAATGTGATTAAATAAAAATAAAAATTACCATTTATTAAGTTAATTAAAGTATTTAATTATTCACTAAAGAAATAATAATTAAATAAGTCTAAGATTTCGCTCGCAAGTTTGAAGGACTGGAGCATTTTAAGAATGATGAACACCCACAGTTTTCGTTCATCCAGGCAGGAAAAAAAATGAAGAAAGAATAATTTATTTCCTAGATCTTATTATTAGTATCACACCTTTTATTTATCTTAATACATGCACAAATAGAAATTATAACAGCATAGCCGCGCGGCTATGCTCTCTAAATAGAATATATTAACAGTATAGCCGATCAGCTTTAAATACAATATTTTAGCATTAAAGCTCGACTCTATAAATATAAATTATAAACGTACAGCCGCACGGCTATACTTTCTAATTACATTCGAATATTTTAAGAGTATAGCCGAGCGGCTATACGCTTAAAATATATTCGAACGAACACGAAGCTTGCACTCGCAGAAGACGGAACTTTCTCTCGCAGTCCCTA